AAAAAAAATTAAATTTATAAAATATAAATAATATTAAAAAATTAAAGCTCATGGGAGGTCCGCCAAACATGCTATTAACAAGGTGAGTACTAAAAATAGACTTTTGCCTTTAATTATGTTGAAAGCTTTTGCCAAGGAAATTGCACCCATTTGTGAGCAGAATTGGTGTAGGGGTCAAGACATGGGGTAATCACCTAGATATGTAGATCTTTTTTAAGAAAAAAAAATTAAAGAAAAAGAAAAAACTAAAATTGCAAACATAGATCTGGTTTGGCTAAAGAAAATTTAGAAAGTGGCATGGGTTTGTAAATTTAAAGCAATGTAAAGGTTAATTTAGGAATGTGATAAGTACAAATTAATTAATGGGGGCCACATAAGCGTCCAGCGTGTTGGCCAGCTAAGCTTGGAGTTAAAGGATTGCTCAGGGAGGATGACGTCAAACCTTAGATTTTCACTAATTTGTCCAACTCTAAAAGGTTGCAGGTGAATTGTCTTTTTCTTTTTTAGGGTAAATTTGTCCTACTGCATAATTTTGAGGATGGATTTGAACATTTTGCCTTTTTTTTTTTCTTTTTTAGTAATGATGAATAACACTGTTACAGGGTAGAAGAGTTGATAAATATTGATCTTGATAATATGTTCAAAAAAAAATATTGATCTTGATAATAGAAAATAATTTTTAGTGTGGTTGCAGTTTTTATTTTAATTTTTACTATAAATTTTATCGCTTATAAAAATGAAAATTAATCAAGCATAACCATCATTCAATAGGATACATTCGCCTTTAGTCTCGATTTTGAAAAATTTTTTGTCCCCAACTTTTATAAAAAGGATAATGATAAATGAGTTAAAAATTTTAGGTCTAAAATTTTAAATCAATTACATGTATAAATTATATTATTTAAAATATTAAAAAGTAAATCATATATTAATTAATAATTATTTTTTTAATTATTTTGAATTTATTATATTATTAAATTATTTAATGACACGAATTATACTGCATTCTTAATCCTAAATTTTCATATTTTGTATCACTATTTTTCTGAAAAAGAATGCTTAAAACATTAGTTTGGAATAATATAACCATTAATATATATAGAAACCATTAAATTAAAAAAAATTTTAAAAATTATATAATATCTTTTAAAA